CCTCTTGGCTCTGTTTCTCTGGAGAAACCTGACTAATGCAACATGTCTATTTATTATTGTTGCTTTGTTATTGTTGCTTTAAGATGATCAAGAAATCATGTAACTATTACATGGAAGGCAACATGCAAATCCATATCCCTCAGAGCTGTTTTTCAATTGAGCAAGAGAAAGGTTCAGCACAGGAGACTACAGGGTGATCTTACGCCCCTGAGCCTGTCCAGGTGTGAAGAGTGGTAGTTGGCTAACACCCTGGAGTCAACAAACATCCGTGGGGTAGTTTCCCTCCTTGCCTAACTCCAGTGGGGTTCAACCTCTGGTCTAATAGGAAAACAAGAGGCCTAAAACTCATTAAACCTAAAAGGAAGCTTTGATGGATGGGTTCAGTGCAGCCTAAAATATCTCAGCATCACTCACAATTTGTATGCTTTGTAGAGTATTGGAAATGAACCAGGAGACGCGGCCTCTTCGGCGTACCTGTTTCACACCGGGCAGTTGGGGTTAAGCCCCCTGATGATGCTGTTGAGTAGGTTACACTCTGCACGTCCTGGTGTTTTTACCTGTGCTTAGGATCTAGAGTAATCCACCGTCAGACTTAGGTCTGTGTATCTGGAAAGAATTTTACTATTTTCCGGGCAGAAAAGAGAAGACACACCTTGTCTGAGGTCATGACGTAGTAGGTGAATAGTAGAGCTGTGAGTCAAGCCCTTCTTAAAAAGCCCACGCGCTTTAGCAGACAATGCAGCTTGTCCCTCTTGACGGAAGGATATGAGGCAAGTAGGAGAGAGGAGGGCATGATGCTCCATGCAGGAAAATACCCTGGCTTTGGGGGATGAACATATCTTAACAGTTAAGGGACCAACAATTTCTCAGAAAAGGCATCAAAGGGAAAAACCCAACTACTAAATATATCATTGGTAATGACTATTCTTGAAAAACAGCATTGTTGGCAAACAGGTTCAAATTGAGAAGCCAGACAATTAGGGCATAGACCAGGTAAGCCTGTTTATCTTAGAGTTTCCCAGACGTCAGGAAACTGGCACCATGGCTCCCATCCCATCTGTATTATTAATTAACATTTCCTATTTTTATCAACACACCTTTTCACGCAGTTTAGTTCTAAGCAATGAAACATGTGAAACTGGAGATTTAGCGTATTGATTATTCATTTGCATTAAAATAAATACGACAGTTCATGCTTTAAATATTTTTGTGCCCTGCTTTACATCAATCATCTCACTTCCTACTCGTCATTCAGATTTCATATTTACACAGTTTTATCTCAAGCTTTAACTCAAAAAATATTACCTGGAAAACGTTTTCACGGAAGAAGAAAAGACCCAGGGACATTATGGAAAAAATGGAAGCCCAAGGTCAAAGATTTGGTCAGATTTATCCAATTCTGCTCAAAACCAAGCAGGCTCCATATTTTCATCATTATGGAAGTGTTTCGAATCACTCACTAGAGCTGTTCCTCATATTTTTCATAGAGTTAATAAAGAAGTAATTCTTGCAACAATTTATTTCATTTACTCTGATTCCACCAGGAGAGTAGTATGTTAGAAGCTGATTCTGTCTCAGTTTTAGCAAGACTCCCTAGCTGATAGTTACATTGAGGTAGTGGTGACCGTACATTTGGCTACTTTTAAGGAAGCCAGAATGCAAATTTTCTATGTGAAAATTCCCATTTGGATAAGTTACCACTAACTTCAAAACTCCTATTAAAAAATAAAAAAACAAGCAACAACAAAAACCTACTGAATAAGCAAATCAGAGAGGCTCTTGAGCCGGCTATACCCCCTCTGACTGCAGTGTGTGGGCTTTGCCTCTCAAACACTCAAGTTCAGCTATTTACCGGTTGAGACTAGAACCATTACTACTAGCATTACAGAGACTACAAGCATGACAGCATTACACTGTTCCTAATTCACTTTTACATCCTTATCACCTATCAAAATGCTTCACATACCATGTACGTGAATAAACTCGCTTAATAATCAAAGGAATTGAGGAATTTGACAAAACAAGATGACAAAGCACAGTGCTACTAGCTCTGCATTCAGTCCTGTCCAGGTCAAAGTTTATGTCCATATTTAATATTTAAGGATGTCAATAACATGATTGCATTTTCAGATAATAAGAATATAGAAAGATAGTAAAAAATGATATGGGTTAGTTCTGTTGGAAGATGATATTATACTAGTTCAAGATTCTAATTCCAATTTTTCTCACTTAGGAGCTGGATCAGTGATTTAACATGTATATCTTAGCAGTTAGACCTTCCTCCCCTTTGTGCCTTTTTCCGTACCAATCCATTTATCAAGGTTGCCCATTTTTCCCTATTGCCCAGCAAACCCCAGCTCATCCTCATTGCCTTGCTCAGATGGAGCTTCCTCCTGGAAGCATTCCTGGATACAATAGGGAAAATAACTTCCTCCATCCCCTAAACTCCCATAAAACCACGTTCATACAAATGTTATTACTTCTACCATGCATCTGGTTTCTCTAATTTCCCATAAGCTACTTGGGGATCTTAATATACCCTATGAGTCACAGTTTCAGAAATAGAATGCTCAGTCCACAAACAGCTGGTTTATAAATAAAGATAAAATTCCCATTTTACATAGTGAAATAACAACCACTGGGAATATAAATAACAGGTGTGTGGAAAACAGCATACATGTGAACTAACACAAGATTCTAGAAACTTAGTGTCCCTTACACAACACTCATTCTTTTTGAGATCTCACAGGATGACCTCTGTGTTTTTTCAGGTTGTAAGCTGACATAGAGTAGAGGCAGCAATCAGGTAAGACTAAAAATGAGAGAAAGTCAATCCAGTGCAAGTGAAGCAGAGGGGGAAAAAAAACAGAAAGAACTTAACGAAATACTTTAACAGTCTGCAAATTTTTGAACAGTAAAAAATTCAAAGACTCAAGTTTCCAGCAGTGGGAGGTGATGAGATGGAGAATGTCTGTTTGAAGAAAAAAAGGGGATATGACTAAAAACAAAAAGGAATATGGGTTCCTCTTTGCAAATGGTCCCTCCTTATTCTATTTTTTCTATGTTAGGCTGGTAGCCTCCTTTGGTAGGCTGGAGTAGGATTAAAAAGAAGGGGAGTCAGGGAACTGACCCGGCCTGCAGAATCTCAGGAGGTTTGATTGATGGCTGACGCCCATAGTACCCTTAGAGCTAGGGTAAAGGCATCTTCACAAGTTCAAAGTGTAAATTTGGAACAAGAATTGTACAAGAAAAATAGGATAGCACCTCCCATAATACATTCTCCTCCTTTCCTGATTTTAGGCCCTAACACAGAGTTTGGCACATCTAATGCAGTTAGTAAAGAATTACACTAATTCAGAAATGAAAAATAATTTCCATTTTACAGATACCTTTTCCTACTATACACCTTTTTTGCTTCCTTCTTTTCTCTCTCTTTCTACATCTTTTTCTTCTCATATTTCTTCTTCATTTTTTTTTTAAGTAGGCTCCACACCCAGCACGGAGCCCAACTCAGGGCTTGAATTCATGACCCTGACATCAAGACCTGAGCTGAGATCAAAAGTCAGATGCTTAACCGGTGGAGCCACTCAGGCACCCCTCTCTTCTTTATTTTCTAGACAACTTCCAGGATGGGAGGGGCCATTCCCAGTGATTCTCAAAAATACTGACATATCCTTCCAGAAAGTTGTCTCCTGAATGGGTCCCTATTGTAAGATAATATATTAGAATTAGAAACAGTATTTCTAGAACGTGTGGAGAAGTTAATGAGTTAATGACAAATATAAGTTTCCTTCTTGGGACTCCTTTCCTGAGTCTAGACTGGAAACTACTAAGTTAGTTGTTGGACAATGGGAGACCCTGACCCAGATGGTTGCAACAGGATAATTTTAAGATTTTCTTCAGTCACAAACTGAGCAAGAAGATGTCTACATCTTCTCCCTGCTATGCCATTGTGGCCCTCATGTCAAAGTCCCAGTCCATTAAGAGAGATACGAGAGACTCCCAGTTGGAGCCTAATGCTTGGCTTTTCTTCTAAGGCTTATCATGAACTAGAATCCATGCTGCACCTCTAAAGAAGCTTCTACATGAACATGACTCACATTCTGAAGATGTCAGGGTTCTGTTCATGCCATCCCACGCAGAGACTAGCACTGTTCTGTGATGCCATGTGGACTGGTGCTCTGGTGCTCCTTTGTCCTATATCCGTAGAGAGCCCTGGCTGGGCCGACCCCAGCCAGAGTTTTAAAAATCTATGATCCTGGGGTATCTGACTGGCTCAGTCAGTAGAGCATGTGACTCTTGATCTCAGGGTTGTGGGTTTGAGCCCCATGTTGGACATGAAGATTACTTAAAGAAGAATAAAAATTAAAAATAAGTTGTCAACAAAAGCAAGAAACTATGATCCCTCTGGAACCAGCATGCTCAACAAAGGTTTTTGCCGAAGGAGCCAGATCCATTGGGCAAACCTCTGTCCTGCAGCAGGGTGCTCTGTGATTGGATTAGTTTCGCTAGCAGCACGACAACGTTGCCCTTAAGCATGAGTTCATCAGCCATATCACAAAACAAGGAGAGCCATTGCACTGAAAGACCATGTACCAATCCGCGGGATTTCTTCCTAGTTGGTACTGAGAGGCATCAGGATGCAGATGAACTTGTGCCTGTCCCTGCCTTAGGCTAAGAGGCTGAGGCCTCCTCCCCTGGTAGATTATCTGCCATCCAAGAGACAAATAAGCCCCAGGGAGTCAGAAGGGAAAAAATGTGATCAGTTTTGTCTGATTTGCCGGTCAGTCTTCTTTACAAAATTAATCATAAAATTTACATTTAAGATACCTTGTATTGTAAAAAAGAAAGTGGAGGTGGGCAGGGAGAGAGGGAGAAAAAGAAAACAATAAAATAGAAAGAAATAAATCAGTAAGAGACACGAGACCAAGAACAAAAAACGAAAATTTCAACAGCATCTGTCCTCCTAGTGGCCCAAGCGGAGGGAAGGGAGTACTCACCGAGCCTCACAGACAGGTGTCGATCAGATGTCCTTGCCTCAGGAAACTTTGAGCGCCTACCACAACCATGTACAGTGGGAAACACTAGAAATAAGAGGATAGGTCAGGCTGGCTCCCACTGCTGCAGGAGAGCCAATGATGACTAAGAAGCCAGACAGGTCACACTGAAGGGCCACTCCCCTGGTTGTAATCTCTCCCAGCCTACGTGAGACCCAAACCTCTGCGCTCCTCTCCTATCCTGAGCACAGACGTTGGGCAAACCCTCTGCATAGGCTTTTGGATGGTTGGCCCTGATGACAGCAAGTGAGAGCTGGGGACTTCCTTGGACAAAGTATGTACCAGCACCCCTTTCATAGAACAACTTTTGCATTTGAGCAAGATGAAAGATTAGCACAGAAGAGCGAGGGGTGATTTCAGGAGTAAGAACCTCTTAGACCATCAGGTTAGTGGACTTGCTAATAGCCTGAAGAGGTCAATCCCTCAGCAAGTATTAATTTAATGGTTTCATTTCTCAGATATCTCTAAAGCAGGAAGATTTTCTCTTCTTGCTCTCAGCTACCTCTAGCCCAATAGAAAGCAAGAGGGCAAAATATCTTTAACTTTAGGAGGATGTCCTGGGTGGTGAATTGTTGTGATACATAGCTTAGGTCCCCTCAGCGTCCTTCTCCCTTTACCTGCTCTATGGCTATCTAAGAAGGCATAGAAATAAAGAAAGAAACCACTAATATTTCTAAACACTTATTTTGCATCAGGCATACACACACACACACACACACAAATATCCTATATACATATAGAGATTTACTATACATTTCTTACATATTTATAAATATATGCTGCATGTATTTGCTGCATAGCAAATGATCTGAGTGACTTAAAGCAGCAATTTTTTAAATTAATTTTCATTATTATGTAAATTGGCTGAACTCAGGTTAGCTCAACCCTGAACAGCCCTGGTGTCAGCTGGACTGGATCTTGCGGTTATCATTTAAGATGACTTCACTCACATACTGAGGCCCCTAGATGGGATGATGGACACTGGGCCTTTCTCTCCTGGTGTTCACTCACCTTCCAGGATCCTTCTTCCCAAATAGTTCTCTAGAAAGGTAGCTGAATTTCTTTACGTGGTGCTCGGAGCTCCAAGAGAGTGAACACAAGTCACAACACCCAAACCCACTTTCCATTAGTCAAAGCAGCCTAGAGTTAGTGTCAGAGAGGATTACACAAGGTCATATATGTAGTGTGATATATTGGGGGCTATTCTAGAATAACCTACAACAGAGGAAAAGCATATCCTACCACAGCCCCAACCATTCGTATCTCACCAGGACCTCCCCATTCAGGTGGCATTAGGGGTTCTGTTATCACTGCAGCCTCCATCCCCAAATGGAGCAGATTTACAAGGTCTTTTGGGCAGCCATTCTGGACCTGTTGATATGCTAGTCAAAACAGGCCTTATGCAGAAGCAGAAGAAATGTTGAATGCTAGATTAGTCTCCTCACTAGAATGGTGGACAGCGGAGCTCTTCTCCTCTTGATCTTTCAACCCCCAGAGCCTCTCCCTCCCTATGAGATCTCCAGTAACGAGGGGCTTTATAAAGACAGTTGGTTTTCATCTTTGTTGAGAGGAGAGTGGGGCAACAAAAATACTTCCAATGCCTTCAAATTCTGCGATTTCCCAAATACAATAGAAGAAAAAATCACTAAATATGAGATTCTTTATGAATCAGGGGAACACAAGGATTATATATTAGTGATCACCACATAGGTTTAAAGTCTTCATGGAGTGCCTGGGTGGCTCAGGCGGTTAAGCGTGGGACTTGGTTTTGGCTCAGGTCATGATCTCATGGGTGGTGGGATGGGGCCCACAGCAGGCTTCTGGCTCAGCCGAGTTGTCCTGAAGATTCTCTCCCTCTCCCCTCCCCTTGCTTGTGTGCATGCACACTATCTCTCTCTAAAATAAAGAAATCTTGGGATCCCTGGGTGGCGCAGTGGTTTGGCGCCTGCCTTTGGCCCAGGGCGCGATCCTGGGGACCCGGGATCGAATCCCACATGGGCTCCCTGCATGGAGCCTGCTTCTCCCTCTGCCTGTGTCTCTGCCTCTCTCTCTCTCTCTGTCTGTGTGACTATCATAAGTAAAAAAAAATAAAATAAATTAAAATAAAGAAATCTTTAAATAACATAAAATAAAGTCTTCTTAGGCATCTTAGTACATACTAAAAAAAAAAAAAATCCTCCTGGAATCCTACCTTCTTTCACTCCTTAATGCAATAGCTGCCCTTCTGCATCTCTAGGAAAAGTCATTAATTGAGTGACCAAACCCATATGTTTGGGTTGACAGCTCAGCTACAATTAATCTCCTCCTCCCATTGCCGTGGCTAATAGCTTGGTAATGGATAACCATGTTTGCATCCTTAGCCTCAAAGAGTGGTGGGGCAGAGAAGCAGCTGTAGGGAAGGTCTGAATTCAGGTGCCAGTGTAGACAACTCCTTCCCCTCTACGTATGCTACACTTGATAAAACTAGTATACTAGTAATAATCCAAAACTTTAATGAAAACCCTTTTACTCACATTACAAATGAATAGGATGAGATAAGGAAGCATTTGAATGCAGAGGGTTGTTGTAGAGATAATACCATTTTTTAAAAGATTGTATTTATTTAATTGAGATAGAGAGAAAGTGTGTGTGTGTGTGTGTGTGTGTGTGTGTGTGTGTGCGCGCAGAGGGCTGGGGGGAAGGGGCAGAGGGAGAGACAGAAGCAGGCTCTCCACTGAGCAGGGAGCCCAATGCAAGGCTTGATGAGAGGCCCCATGTGGGGCTCAATCCCAGAACCCTGGAGTCATGACCTGAATTGAAGGTACATGCTTAAAACCAACTGGGCCATCCAGGGGCCCCAAGATAATTCCATTTAAATCAGGTAATGAGAAGTGCTGCTTGACAACTATATTTGTATGTATGTGGTCAATAACAATGGCCCAAAATAAACATACCGGTTTACTTAGAATGTTCTAAAAACATGTATTTCACAGACAGGGATAATGACAGGAGTCCTTGGGGATACAAAGAGTGAGAACCACCAGAGTGGAGACCCCTTCCATCTCTCACATTCTAGAACGCGTAATTTATTATGGAAACAACATCATTACTTAGAAAATACACCAAGTAATACAGATAAGTTATCCTGGATGATTGTTCCTATTTTAGAGATGAAGAAATAGAGGCGAAAGGAAAGAAAAGATTTACCCTAAAGATAATGTGCATCCCAGTTCCCTCTACGGGGCAGCCCAGAATATATGGGAACACTCTGGCTTTTGAGAGAAACTCTTTGCTCTGTCACTACTATTAACTATGTGGGCCTCTGCAAGCTCATCTTTAAATGAGGATAATAGGGGTACCTGGGTGCTGCAGTCGTTCGGGCAGCCAACTCTTGGTTTCAGCTCAGGTGGTGATCTCAGGGTCATGATCTCAGGGTTGTGAGATGGAGGCGCACATTGGGCTCTGAGCTCAGTGGGGAGTCTGCTTGAGGTTCTCTCTCTCCCTCTGCTCCTCCCCCAGCCTCTACTGACTCTTGCATGTGCTCTCTCTCTCTCTCTCTTAAATAAATAAATAAATAAATAAATAAATAAATAAATAAATAAATAAATAAAATCTTAAATTGAAGATAGTAGTACCTATCTTGCAAGCTGTTTTGAGGATGAAATGAGTCAGTCAATTCAAATAAGTGCTTACCCCAGGGAAGTCGCTTGAAAATGAGAGCTTGCAATTTGGTCTAAAATCTTCTATATTTAGAAACTAAATTAGTTGCCTTTGCTTGCATCCAAGTTTATCTAACACATAAAAACAGGGATTCCTTTCACTGCCTTCAGTATTAAAAATACCAGGACTCTGAAATGATAATGGTGACTTCAATGGGCAGAGATGTTACCGGGCTCTCATTTCAAGCAAAACATTTCTCTAGTCATGTTGTTATATTCTAAAAAATAATACTTTCCCAGGATTCCATGGCACTAGTGACACACCTGACTGATATTGCCAACCCACAGCTTCCTCTGACCCACACTGTGCAAAAAACTAGACCAGGTCCCAGGAACACTGATAGTGCATAAAAGTGAGTTTGTCAATAGCTAAACACACAGGGCTTGTTGTTATTTTGTCCCGGGATACGTATTCCAGCCGGTCTGTAGTAGTAAAAGATTAGAACAAAGTGTTCACCCCAATAGCAAATTGAGGTAAAGAAATGATGAAATAGCCCTAGACCAGACTAGAAGGTCATACTGCCATTTACTACTGTGAGGTACATCCTGTGCCGACATATGTTGTTAGTGACCAGAAAAACAAGGTGCAGAACACTGTGCATAGGACACTGTTATGCGGGGGATAAAATGGAGTGGACACACACACACACACACACACACGATACACATGGAGGAGCTGGTGCGCATGTACCCGCTTATATACTGCGGACGGACAGGCGGACTGTGATAGACACAAGAACCTGAATACTTGCTGCTTTTAGAAAAGAAACCTGGGCCTTGGACAGAAAAGCCAAGAGCTCTGGGGGCTCCCGGGTCAGAGCGCCTCCTACTTTGAGGTCTTTAAATCCTGCGTGTCTGGGGGCACCTGGGTGGCTCAGCGGTTGAGCGTCTGCCTTTGATTCAGGTCATGATCCTGGGATCCTGGGATCGAGTCCCACATGGGGCTCCCTGCATGAAGCCTGCTTCTCCCTCTGCCTGTGTCTCTGCCTTTCTCTATGTGTTTCTCATGAATAAATAAAATCTTTAAAAAAAAAAGAAAAGAAAAAAAATCCTGCGTGTCTGTTTCTCCATCGCTCTCCGCGGGGCTCAAAGAGCCTTTAGAAGACAAAGCTGGTCTCAGGCTTTGCTAAGCAAAACGGAGAAGGGGCGGCGCGGGGCGGGGAGCGGGGCGCGGGAGCGGGATGCGGGGAGCGGGGCGCGGGGAGTGGGAGCAGGATGCGAGGCGCGGGAGCGAGATGCGGGAGCGGGGCGCCCCCTGCGGGCCGGTGCGGGTAGAGGAGCGAGAGGCTGCGGGCGCCCTAAAGGAGATGCTGAGGGCTGCGGGGCTCCATTAGAGCAGCTGGGGAACAAATTGGCCCCAAGA